GACTAACTGAAATAGTCCTAGCTGAATAAGGATCACAACGGTGAAATGACTATTGCAGATAAACCAGACTTTTTTTTTTTTGCCTTGTTTAGATGTGGTCCAATCCAAATCAAACAGAGCTTTGCAGGATAATTTTGCCCAGAGGCTATCTTGACTCTACAGTACAGTATAAAAACCGCTCAGTTGTTGTTTCATGGTACTGTCTGCATTCAAACATGCCCCCACTAAACAAACGGAGGAGTAAATTGCATGGAAATAAAAGACCAGAGGAGCTGGAACTTAGAAAGCTTGTGTTAGCACCACAGATGTAGTCACCAAGTTACCTCTTCAGTGAGCTTTAGAGGCATGTTTATTATTCTTGTTGACATCACAGCTAATATTCCATAATTTGTTTGGTATTTCATTTAGTGGGTGCCTAAAACATGCATGACCAAATATGCTATTACCACGTAACTTCCTTTCCATGCACAGAACAGACACTTAGGGCAAAACAAAACCAATCCGTCTCCCAGGTTTTGCACACACAGTTCTAAAATATGTGTTTCCAATAACAATGACTATTTTAAGGAGTGCCTGCAGCCTTTGTTCCACCATCATGCTTCTGTCTGTGCGCCCTCACTCTCCTTCCCCTAATCCATCTGTGTTCGTAGGTCCACACTGGACGTCAATCAAAAACATACCAGGCTTTTAGATGGCTGGTAAAGGAGGGCAGAAAATGACACAGGGAGATGAGGAAGGTCATGAAAGAGGAAACATTGACTTGGACCAGTCACTCCACTATTCCTTGATTCTGTATACAGTTTAGATCAGTTACTAACCAGCTTCTACCACTGAAACAAACAAATTATTTCAGTATGTCAAAGACTGCCTCAGACAAGCAGAGGACAGAGGAAAAACACCAGTGGCATTTGAAGTCCTGGTTCATCTTCTCTAAATCTCCAATTGTCAGTCTTGTTTGAGGTGAACAGACTATACTCAGACACAGTACTCAGGATGCAGATTCAGACTTATGGGTGTAGGCATACTGGGGCATAGTGACTTTCTTATGCCCAAGTACTTCCTATGATATAATTTGTTTCTTTTACTGCTTTCAAGACAATGTTTTTATAGAGCTAATCATCATAACACCAAGATTTCACCTTAGAGAGGCACAAGTTAGTTGGGATGCTATTGTTTTGGCGTTTTTTTTTTATATATAGTTTTACAGTTACATGCATTAAATTTATCTATCATTTTATGCACCGAAGTGTCTCTGCAATGCTCCACAATCAGTTCTGTCTTCATTTTAACTTGAGTAACAACACTCTTTGGTGTTTGTACAGCATTATCCCAAACTAGATGATTCTCATAATATACTAAATTTAGTTGTTTCATTTTACATTTAAACTAAATATGCCAAGACATTTCTACAAGAAAAGCATACACAGTATGTATCAGTATAATTTATACTGCTTAAGCAGTTATGCTTAGTTTTTGTTATGCTTCCTCTGGGTGGGAGAGCTTTATTAGCTTTGAGGAAGAAATACTGTGTCACCAGGTTAGGTAGAAAAAGATTTAATATCCACTTTCATTTCAAAGCTCTCTACAGCTCTTTGATAGATTCACCTAAATTCAGTCGCTTCATACATACAGGGGGGAAAAAAAAAAAAAACAAACCCAAAGCTTCTCATCTTCAGTGCTCAAAAAGCTATATTACTTTCTTATTTTAAAGGAGTTTACTTTTGGTTCTTAATATGTGCAGAAGGTAACCACTCTCTTTTACTGTTCTGTTTCACTAAATACTTGCTCTAGTAAAATTCCTTTTTCTCTTCAATCATATCACATGTCTTAACACATACATGTCAGTTAAAGCCCACATGACTGCAAGTTTCATTGCAGCCTTAAATGTGTTGATAAATTAATCACCTTCTAAATTCTGACTGTCTGTTCTATCACTTTGAGGACAAGGCTGGAAGTATGATGAACCCCAAATAAATCAATCAAGGTCAGGTTTTGATAAGCCTTTGTGTAACATGATGATTACAGCTTTTTCTGAACAACATAATTTGTGCAGACTGATTCCCAAAACTGATACAAATTGGATAGTGCTGTGTCATTTGCAACTGCACTCCCGCGTGGATACAATTATAGTGCAATTTGAACAGTACCGGTTGTAATTTACTACAACCTTTTACCTACAGTATTGCATTCCAAAAGCTGTCTTCAAATTTTACTATTGAGACACTCAGAAATAGTCTGCTCTCAGTCTTAATAAACAAGCAATGAAGTTAAGAACAATCACAGTCATCTCAAGACCACCACAAGCAGAAGACATAACACAAAAATTAATTAAAACAGTAAACCGTAACAAAGAAAATTTCTATCTTAATATCTGTGGCTTTATGTAAAAAGCTCTAAGTAAATACCCAAACCCCCAACCTACTAGCACATGAGTGAGCATGAGAACAGAATCACACATGAAAAATAACCCTTCTCTACTCTCCTATCAGATAACCTTTAGTATGTTTCTAGTGTTTTCAAAACAGATCTATGTGGCATTCTAACCACACAGACTAAATACACTCTACACTACTTGCCAACCTCTCTAATGTCTCCAGCAGCTGAAAAATTCTGTTCATTTACCATGGCCACAAAAATTACTTCCTTTCTCCCTGCAAGAACTTCCTTTTCAGCCCAATACATATCAAAACCTACCTTTATTCAGTGTACCTATTTGGATGATATAGAAGCAACAGAAGAACTAACACCCTTGTACATACAGACTCTGATACACCCTGATCAAACATCAGTATCCATATTTTCTACATGTTAAGCCACTACTACATCATGTACAAATCTGCTTTCCCCATTAAATACAACAAAATGGCCTGCCTTACTTACATCTTTGATGTAATTTTCTTGTATCCCACCATCCTATATCTATATCTATATCTATATCTATATCTATATCCTTTCCAGCTTGGAATAATTTAAAAAAAAAATAAAATTGACAGGTCAAGTAGCTTCAATTGTATAAAGCCCAATTTTCACACACTTAGATGAGTAATCCAGATTAATTATAAAACCAATAATTAACCTGATATGTAAGATCACAGCAGATCACTCATCTAGCTCCCTGCATAGACTGGGTAGACCTTTCTGATAGATGGTACATCAAATTCAACAAGTAATCTCAGAGAGGAGGCATAGAGATAATGCTGGGCTTCAAAAAAAAAAAAAAAAAAACACATGGGTACTACTAATACTAGTAAAATTGAAAAAAACAAACCACCCTCCAATTAAGTACGATAAAAGTTTTCCTTAAAACAAAACCAACAAAAATCATCTGAAGTAAAGTAAGAAGAGCAGAACTGGTGTTTAGAGCAACATTAATTAATTTTCATTTTTGAACATCTTATTAAATTTACTATTAGACAGACTTTCATGCAAGTAAATAAATGCTATTTATAGCTATCTCTGAGCCACAGCAACTCAGTCATAGAACCATTTCCCAGACTGTTATTGTTATGCCAAACAGACTACTCTTTCATTTCTTGTCAGCCGTAATTACAGTTCCATAATTGAAATACAGTAAATTACCATGCAGTAACTCTGAAAGATGGTTCACTGAGGTTAAGCTGTCACTATAATTACTGTATAATAAAAAAATGATAATTTAAATGTTCTACTTTTCTTTCAAAGGGAAAAACAAATTCAGTTCATGCAGCTCAGATGAGTCAAATATCTTCATGATGATGTAAACAAAGAGAAACAACACATTTAGACAAAGCCAAACAATCCCAACTAGAAGTCCTAGGCTGCACAAACACACCAGTGTATTTAAACTTTCCTAACCACCGAAGAATACTGCACATTCAAAAACAATCCTTTTGAAGTGTAGCCTTTATCAGAATTCAGACATACAGTAACTATCCAGCATCTTCCATACATGCTCCTATTTTGCTCATGAAGTATATAAAGCTTTGAAACACTCGTTTCAAGTTCCACGCTTCATTTTATTTCAGTTCTACATGATGTTTTTTTGGCCACAACCAGCAGGATAACAGTAACTTGCCTAGCATCAGCGAGGTGTAGATAAAAGATATAAATTAGCATGGACATTTCTATGGGCCTACAATTACAGACTTACATTGGTCAAGCAGTTTTCCTGTAGAAATTTTCTCAAATATTTGTGAGAAATAAAATGAGGAGAGAGGAGAAGGGATACAGAAAATACACCAATAACTGTCACTGTAAAATGCTCAAAATTTTATGAGAGCTGTCCCCTTACAAAAAGATCTCTCAATAAATTCCTAGCTACTCTCTCTGCAAAGATAACTTCACAAAGGACATCTTTTGGTAAACAGTAACAGACGTGCACAACTGAAAACTGTTCCTGTTCTCCTCACGAAGACCTTCTGATGATGCTGGGAAAGACAACTCCTCTAGTTCTGTTTTCCTCCTGTCTGCTGCCAGACACCCAGTCCCTGCTGTTTACCTTTGTGCTGGCACTCATTTGACCATTCAGTAAACAAGATAAGCTAAATAAATGAAAAGGACACCAAATAAAACAAAAGGAAAACCAGCAGTAAGCAGCTGAAGGGATAAAGTGGAACAATGTAACCAGAGAACAGGACATAATAGGAGTTGATGGTAGGAGCAGTGGGCTGCAGAAAACTGCTAAAAGCTCCAGAACTGTAATTTTCAACAGCATCACTGGCAAAGCACACTAGGCTTTCTTCAGGGCCTTCTCTCAAAGTTTGCAATGAAGCAAATGCAGTAAATAACTGCTTGAAGAAAGGGCCACAACCTGAGCTGTAATTAACAATCAAAGCATTATTTAAATAAGAAAAAAATATTAAAATATGAATAAAACATTCTCAGCAGCTAAGAATCTCCCAGCCCAAATCTTTGCCTATTTATTTTGCTAAGAAAATAGGAGTATGTGAAAGCATCTATTATACGACATCTATGAGGTATTATTTTTTCCCCGAGGGTTTCATTGTAATCACTTATTTCACCTCTGTTGCTTTCTCCAGGCTTTGTTGTAGACTAAGTAATTCTTGATTGTGTTGCTCTTTAAGTTTATCCATCTCCATGTCATGGCTAGATACTTCTTCTTTTAGTGCTCCTTTTAAAGCTGTAAGCTCCCTCTCTCTCTTTCTCAAAATCTCTTCTTGTTGATCTTTCGCTATTAATACTTCTTCTAGATCCTGCTTCATTTGCATCAGCTCCTACAGAACAGAATTAAACACAGCTACATGACAAATTGCTCCAATAGAAGTGCTGTTTGTGTTTCAGAAACGGAAAGCGTGAGTGTAAGCTCCTCAAGGCCAGTTTCACTTCATCAGACCAACATTTTTTGTGGCTTCTGTAGTAGGCTAAATATAAAGTAAACCCTAAGATTATTAGAAGTATATAGCTGATTTTTTATGTTTTATATAAAAATAAAATATATAAAATGACATATATGATGCTGCAAAATTATGAAGAGATTTTGATGGTGTAGCTTATGCTGCCTGTAAATAAAGCAGGAGTCAAACTAAGGCTGCAGTTTAACAACTCCCTCAGTTCTACCATCTGTAGCAAGGAGGTAGATAAAAACAAAGAAAAAACTCTTTTTTTCCCCCATGCTGCAAGAGAAGTGAACCCAATGTTAATTTCTTTATTTTTTCCAGCAGAAAAGGCAGCAAGAAAATTGCTTCTGCAAGTGCTGAAGGCAAAACAAGCACTTCCCGACCGAGTCCACACCTTTACACCCTTTCTCCTCCTACCACATTCACCCTAGAAGTCATTTCTCCTCTCCAAATTGCTGGGAAGGAAGAGGGTAGTTGGTGAATCTGAAGAATACACACATGCATGTATAGAAACAGAATAAAATAACAACAACAATCCAAAACGTGCAGCTTAAAAAAATAATCTAATTCATAATTTCTCAAGCTCTGAATAACTGCACTTTCAAAAAGAACGTAAACTTCCCCTGCAGTGAAGCAAGATCAGTACATTGAAACTGTTCCTCAGACAGTTCATCTATTCTGGCCTTAAAAGCCTACAATGGAAGTGATTCTACTACCATCCCAGATAGCCACATTGCTAGGAAATGTTTTCCAACACTTACTTCAAATCTCTGCAGCTATGTCTCTCATTTCTTATTCTATCCCCACATAACACAGAAAAATTGATCACTGCCTCCTTTACAGCAACATTATCTAAGATGTGCTTTTGACTTCTCCTTCACTTCTCCATTGAGATTAAAAACCTTCTTCACAGGTAATGTTTTTCAGTACTGTTACCATCATTCCAAATATTTCCCTTCCTACGTACAACTTTTAACTGCAGTGCCTGAGATTTAAGACAGTAATTAAGAAAGTAATTAAATCTAACCTACACAAAACAAGGTATTCTACTCAGCATACCTTGCATACAAACATCTTGAATCTTCCTGAGACTTACTGTCTATGCTCTTGCTCCCTAATTTGCATTTTAACCTTTGTTTAACATTAACTAGTTCTTTGCACTAGTATTAAGAGAAGTGAGTTGTTTCGGTACTACAAAGCTTTCTAATATACCTTTTGAACCATTATACACCAATACTCTTACACATCCCTATCAACAAATCTAATAAGCAGTGTTCTCTACTTCATCAGCAGTATGTGACTATAACCAGGGCTACAGCAAATTCCTCTTTCATACCAAGGCAACAGGAAACACGTAAATCTTTTGTTCCTCGTCAGATTCTATCCCCACTCCTCTCTTCCTGGTCCCATCAACGGAGCGTCAACAATTTAGAGACCACTTTGGTGAGTTCTTTTAATTGTCTTATCTGGCCTTGCTAATACATACACCTTCTTTAAACCGATCTTCCCTGTTCTGACTCAAATCCTATCTACTTGCTAAAACTAGCTAAGATTATTATCTTCTAACAGTGGGTAACTCAGCTGTCCCTCAGCCATTTTTTGTTCTATTCTACAAAAGAATGGTATTGTACTTTGTATTCCTTTTAGCGTTAATGTATTTATTATATGGTTTCTTAGGACACCTAGTAACAGTATATTGTTTTGGATTGGTAGCATGGAAAAAGCTAAGGCATGTATTTCTTCTTTCTGTATCTTAGTTTTCACTATTTATTCAATTCTTCCCATTTTTTCATCCTTCTTCTGATACTTTAGAACTAACCTCAATCAGAACCTCTTTCTCCCCTTCATCAGTATGTTTTGCGTTATCCAGTTCATCATGCATCTCAGAGAGCTGGTCTTGAAGATCTCTGATCTCAGTTTGGTGTTGTTCCTGCTCCATCTTCACTTGAAAAAGCCTCATCAGGGAAAATCAGACAGGATTTTGTAATTTGTAGAAATACTAATTTGTTCCTTCAAGAATTACTTTAAGTAGATATTTAAGTGCAAAGTTGCATTTTATTTTTAAAATTGATACTATATTACTGACTAAAGCATTCAAATGTTTTCATATTTTAAAGACTCGAACTATATATATTATGGCCTTAAAATATATTAAAAGCAGTTTGCACTAGGAGGAAGACTATAAATTCAGCAATCTGTCTCTTCCTTCCAGATATGCTAAAAAAATGCCTCTTTTATAAATGGTAGAAACATTTCCTATAATAACAAAAATCACTCTGTCTGATTCCATTAACGTACTCTGAAGACACAGGTACTTTTTAATCAAAAAGGTTTAAGAAAAGGCACAAATCACAATGAACAACTTCTCTAGTATTAACTCACTCCTCGAGGTTTTGCCTGAGTTCCTTCTCATTTTCTTCCAGCTGCTTTTTCAAGGCTTCTTTTTCACATATAGTTTCATCAAGCTGCAACTGAAGATCTTTCAGGTTTGCTCGTGTAGCATCTCTCTCTTCTTTGGAATTTTGCTGATTCTGAATTTTGCACACCAGAAGTTAAATGAGATAATAGATTAGGCATAAATAAAGACTCTGCTATTATATGAAAGAAGCCATTTCAAGATTTTTCATTTGTAGAAGTGCTTATTAATTTATGAAAATTAAAAGCTTAGAATGTTTAACAAACCACACAAAGCACTGCTTTTTGATTTTTATTAGCAATGTGAGAAGTGAAGTCTCCTTCAGTACTAGTTAATCAGTATTAAGTATATTGATTCTTATCACAGATTCAAAATGCAAACCAGAAGCCAAGCTGTTCTTACAACTTCAGAGCATGGCTTTATTTAATTCCTTGAATTCAGCACTGCAAAAATAATGCTGTATTAATAAATAGCAGCTACATGAGTAACACAGTTTGTCTCTCACTCCATGTCTGTCCCACCACAGTCAACAGATTAACATTTACCTCTGCAGATACCTAGGAAATTTTGTGCGTGCATGTGTCTAACATTTTTATTCACTCCTCCAAACTCCTCAAATACTAACAAAAAGATTTTTTAAAAAGGATAACTATGCTATGAGCAACTACACTTAAACTAAAAGGTCTTCTGTAAAAGCATAGGTATATCTGGATTAAAAAGAATATGAAGCAAAAAAGACTATTTACTTAGAAAAGTATATCTGAAATAGACAAAAGCGCTGTAACAACAAAGTGCCATACCCGAATTTCTAGATCCAGTTTTTTCTCTAATTCTTCCACTTTCCTTTCAAGTTCTGCTTTTTGTTCCACCAATGCTTTTACTTCTGCTGAAGAATCTGAAACCTGTAATTAAATAGAGATGTTTATTCCCACAAAGTCACAATGTTCTTTGACAACTGGTTTTTAAAATCTAAAGTAAAGCTACAAGCAAGGCTAATAATGTGGAGCATCAACAGCCTGAGCTCACCAGGGATTTTTCATACGGGGCAAGCCATGCTAATATTTTCAAAGGAATTATGATTTGATCTTCATAAAACTACTTGGTAATTGCTCAAGGCATGTTGCCAATAAAAGAGAAAATATACAAACCTGAAGACAAATTCAAATTAGGCAAAATATGAATTAAATCACAAGTACTTGAAACCAAAATTGACTGTGATATCTCCAGTTACACAAAATGGACATCAAAGTGATTCATGCTTATAATGTCAAGACAGATTTTTCAAACAATGTGTTTTGTAATTTAAGATATGTTTTATATTTTCATTTTGTCTAATTATAGCCCAGCATAAAATAATAATCAAAAGTAAGGTTTAATACTTCTTATGACATCGCTCCAAGAACTGGGCATTTCTTCACTTTGCTTTAGAACTGAATAAACAGTGCACCATGTGCACAAAAACTTTCCAGTAGGCAGCTTGCCAAATGCTATTACTGATATGGCTTTTAAACAATATCCTAAATTACTGCTTCTCTAAATTACAAATGAAAATACTCTCTCCACTAAGACATCTATATCACTATAATGAGAAGATGCTTGACCATGATTTTTTAAAGTTATGTGTGCTAGCTTTTCCTACAATCCAATAACCTTCTGATGTTGATGTTGAGGTTGCATTGCTCTCCTTCAACAAGATGAGAATAGTCTAATTGAAGTCAGTGAGGGCATTCAAATTTTCAAAGCCCTGTTTAATACTGTACTACTATGAAACAAGACAAAACTTTAAAAATCGTTTACCTGTGTCTTTCCAGCAGCTCTTGACTTTAAAGTTTGGATTTTCTCAAAAACCAAGTTGACCTTCCTCTTTGTTGCATCATCATTATCAGCACTTCTAAAACAAAAACAGTGCAAGTAAGCAATGATATGATCAGAGGTACTCTTTTGTTCAAATCAAAACAAAACCAGAGTGTCCAAACTATTGAAAATCACTGCCATAACAACAACAAATCTAATGAACCAGTTAGAAATTATCTTAACTATAATATTACTATGCTCTTTAAAGAGAGGTTATTAAAAATCTATATTCCAAATGTTTTCTAAAAAACAACAGCAATGATGAGGACAACAACAAAATCACTGAGCTCTTTAATTGCAACTCTCCTCTAAAAGACTATAGCTATGCAGAGACAGGTATTCAACACAGACATTACTCAAACATAGTGAAATTAGAAGTAATTAGGACTATGTTTTTTTCAAGTCCTGACTACTGCACCACAAAATAACACTTCAACAGCTCCCTGAACCAGCTACATCAAGAATGCGAAGAAACTTAAGTGCATCGTGTATTTTTTAATTAATTTCTCCTTCCTTCAGTAAGTTATCATTAGAAAATACCAAGTAAAACTGTTACAGGTGGACAAGATTAAATGCACAGCAACAAGAGCTTCCGTCAGCCCTTAAGAGAGAAAACTTCTAGTTGTTGTTTAAAAAGTCAACAAACTTAAACTCCCATGAGGTATAATTTGAATTTTTCATGAACCTCCATATCACATGAAGTTTAAATCCGGAAGTATTGAATAGACAAAACATACTCCAATTCATAAATTTCAAGTACATTTAATCAAATCCTGTAAAATACCTTATGTAAGTCTTGACTGCCTGGGTATTTTGAGATCCTATAATGCATTAAAGGACACAGCTGAGATATGGAATTATGAAATAGACATTTCTTTTAACTATAGCTTTGATCTTAGAGTTTCACATTTTAAATGTAATGGAAAATAAACTTAAAGAAAATACAGTCTCCTTTCCAAAAGCTAACTATGTTTACTAACCCTTCCTTAAGGTAATTGTAAAGTATCTGTTTAGCAGTCTCTTCATTTGTTTGCTGTGCAAGATCTTGCTGGCCTTTTAGGAGATCAGGAGTTGCCTGAAAGGACAAGATAAAATGTCAAAAAATATAATCCTATGAGGGCCGTAAATACCACCTGTACAACTAAAGTTCTCCATGCTATTCTATTAGAAAAACGTGTGCTGTGGACCTAAAGTTCACAAAGATCCACTGGAGTTTTGGCTTAGTGCCAGAAGAACGCATACTCCACACCAAAAAACAAACAAACACACACCACCATAATTTGGTATGGAGGTACACAGATCTCAGCATCCTACTCCTGTGCATAAGAAATGTCATAGTATCATTTACAATAATCTTTGGCTCCACCATCCTCCCTCACCCATAAAAGTATAAGCTGGTTTATAAGCCATGTTTTCTATGCCTGCAACTACAGGAATAATTTTCCTATTTACATTTCTCCAGAACAATTCTGCTATCCCATCTGGAAGTATTGCGTGATGGGAGTTGGTTCTACTGAAGAGCAGGAAGATACACATTTAACAGTATGGCAGTGTTAGTACGTGTCAGTACGATAGAGTGCCAAACACAACTTAAAAAGCAAATTCAAAATTACCTGTATATTAGGGACAGATGAAAATGATTTTACAGAAATAATCTTGGCTCCTGAATCAGGTGGAATTGTGATTCGGTTTGGCAACAACAAAGTAGAAGTTACTGTTCTAACTTCCTCTCTCTTATTCTGTCCTGGGAGTGTAGATGACCTAAACATCAGGCTGTCGTTATCAGCTCCATTTTGTTTATGGTATTGCAAAGAACTGAAGTTGCTGTTCTGAGTGTCTTTTTCAGGCATCTGCAGTTTTCCAATACTTCGAGCAGAAATCTTCATGCCCTTGGAAGCTGACTTTTGATCTCTAGGTAAGTGCTTGTGAAGGCAAACTTTAGATGGTCTCAGCAAGTGCTCAGCTGATTTACCCAAGCTTTTACTGAATTCACCTAAATAACATGAATGTACATCAAGCCCTAATGACAAGGCACTATCAACGCTTCTTGATCTTTTACGATCATCTGGATGAATTCTATTCCTTTTTCCTGACCTACCTCTTCTGTGAGGATCAACTTTCTTATCAAACTTTTCAATTAGCTGATCTACTCCTGGTAATGAACCAGTGTCAATATCACGGCCCGTTCCAGGCAAAAATGGTATATATCTTCTGTTTTCATGCCGATTAACATTGTCTGCATAGATGGCATACTCTTGGTCATCAAGTAAAAATCTGTACAAGGAATTTGCAGAAGTAGGAGTAGCTGATGAGGATGATGACCTTCGTGAGTCATCCAGTGCCGGTCCAGCTGAATCTTGTCTGCGGAAGGGAAGAACATCTGGTCTAGGTTTTCTTGTCTCTGGATAAGCAGTGGGACTAACACATGGGGACCCTCCTGTGGGTAAAAATGACTTTGAAAGACATACTTCATCGGGGCTGATCATGCTACTAGGACAATCCAAGAGCTGCTTATTTTGGTCTTCTATTGACTCGTTCAAATGTATCTTTTTTGAACTTGCTTTGGTTGGCTCTGCAAGATACGTATTTGTTTTCTGTAGGGACACTACTTTAGATGAGGAAATCCAAGGCTTTGCTTCATTTTTTTCATGTGCCAAAGATTTAGATGTACTGCACACAGAAGACTGGCAATCATCCAAGTTCAAGTTACTTTTTTCAGGATCATAAGGCTGTAAAAGTTCAGGATGTCTTTGAAAGTTCAACAAATTGGAGGATTTCATTGTTCCATCTTTAAAACCTGATATTCCATTTTCCTCTTCATCCACATTGGTTATTTTTAGGCTTTTAAGTATACAGGGCTGCATTCCAGGAAACTTTGTGTGTTCACTGTTTTTGTCCTCCAACTTAAAAGCTGTATTGGAGTCTGTGGCTGCCTTGCTTACCGTCTGAGAAGCGACCTGCTGTTCTTTTCCAGGAGGAGGATTTTCTGACAAACATGCTTCTGTATTGTTTAGTACTATGTACGGATGTCCATCAATTCCTTGGACTCTAATACTGACACCATAAGACCCCGTCCTAGAATTTTGTGCATTTCTGTTTTTTTGAGTCTCCTCACTTGCAAGTTCAAGAGTGACTTCATAGTCCTGCTGCACATGCTTAAAACCAGCAAAATACGGCTCCATGATTACCACAGGATTACAGCTGAATAGAAAAAAAAATTACAAAAATGTCATTGTTTTAGATTATTTCCTTAATTACTTTATTCCACCATTCAGTGTGACTATGAAGACTAACAGTAATATGGAGAGATTCAACACACAAGCCATACAAACCCCAAGGTGAATGCATTGTGATGCAAAGGCAAATGTAATGCCTGGATCAATGTAATATTATTTTATGACTATAAATGTTAAGAAATAAAACCAGTTAAGATTACCTACACAGAATTCATGCTAGTTTCTTTGGAATCAAATGACTTCAGATATAAGCAATTCTAGTACAATTTTTTGAGTCAAAGTAGTTTTGATTTTGAATGTCTCCAGTATATTTACTGAAAGACTGCATCCTTTAAAAATCAATGCTCATTTTATAGCTAGTAGTTATTACCTGCCCTATTAACATTTAAACATAAACCCAGAACAGCAAAACAGAACCAGGCAGTTTCAGGTTATGAGTTTTAGGTAACTAAAGCACTGCAAGTAAGGTCACTAAATGATAAATAACCACCAAGAGGATACAGAAACAACAGGATGTCTCACGGGAAAACAAACCTCTGCAGCCAGTTTCCCTCTCCTGTGTACCTCAGCATGAACCATCTTCCTTAGATATTCTAATCAACAGCAGAATTATCATTTTTTCCTGACAGTGAATGAAGTTTGGCTCAGTATTCACAGGATGCTCGTTTCCACCCAATTCTTTCTTCTAGTAGGACAGCTCCCCTCAAAAACCTCTTCCTCTGCCTAAAAGCAACTCCAGCTCCTCCTCAACAGCAGGCTTACTTCATTTGAAGGAATCAGCATACGTTTCTTTAAATACAATGCTAGATATCAAGTGATTATTTTAAAAAAAGAAAAAAAAAAAAGGCAGTCTCACTGTCAAAGTCTTCCTTAGATATTAAAAGACTTGGTAAACTAGTTAAATTCACCAAAATTAATTCAGCAGTTAAATTCAATTTGTAACGGGAAATAAATAGAGACTAGGAATTTTATTTCTATTTAAGACCTCCTGGAGCTGGAAGAGAAGCAGAGCGAGAAGACTAAGGGAAGTGTAAAAACGAAGGAGCAAGAACAACAGAAGGGAACAACAAGGACACAACAACTATCTCGGGCCCCCATAAAATGTATTTCTCCAGACTTTCAAAAATTCTTTCCTGAATACTCATAACATCTGACATTAATTACACTGTTTCAGTGTATAAGCTAAGACAAAACAAAGACAAAAGTGAAAACAGCAAAAGCTGACTCTAATCACCCAGAGTCAATGAAGAGATCTCCAGTATTTAGTGTGGTTTTGACTAGGGCCCTGAAATCAGCTTCTGAGCTGTGCTGCTGGTGGCTGAGAAGGCAATGGAGGGAAGAGAGCGCACACTGTGCAGAGCTGTAACGCTGCAAAGGAACCAGCCCACGCCAGCCTAAGGAATGGCTGCTGGAGGTCGGAAAGAAACCGAGCTCTCCACTCCCTTCTTTAAACTGTTGAGCGGGTCCAGCAAAATTCATCAACGTCTCAAAACTATCCTTTGTTTGCTCAAGGCAACAAAAATAAAGTTTTTTAAAAGTTCAAAAGTTGTTTTCAAAATAAGCATTTTGAAGCTTTTATGCTTTCCATTTTTATGTTATTGTTATATTACACGATGTTGATCTGAAGTTACTATTACAGGCATGTAATGAAATAATAAAAATTTAAATAAATTCAATTTTTAGCAGAATAAAAATTAAAAGTTTCTCAGACTCCAAATCAGCATGATTGTCTCGGGAAAAATGTTAAGACACGATTTTGTAACAAAAAAATTATTAACCAAGAGACTTCAAATGGCCCATGAAAAACAAAACAAAATTCTCCATCTTCTAAATAGCAAGTGTCTCTACTAATGTTTTCAGAAAACACAATTCAGAACTCTAACTTTGTAAAAATCTGGTTTGCAGAATACAGTGTGCTGATAATACTTGAAGTAAGTTAAAAGCACTCATGGCATATTTGTATGTGAACATGTAAGTGAAAAAAACCCCATGATTTATACATAGTTGGTAGCATGTATCTGCAGTAGATGAATATGTGAACATCTTTGAAAAAGCTCTCCACTTACTGATTCTAGCAAGATTAGAAATGCCACCAAGTTTAAAAAAAAGTCCTTAGTATAGGACAGCCAACAACACACTTCAAAGCTCTATGCATTAGCTGACCTATACAAAGAGCAAAGTTCATCTCAATTTGCCAATAGGGGTAACAACTAACAAACACAAGAAACAGGGGTCAATAAAAATTACCCTAAAACTTAAAAAAAAAAAAAAGGATTCAAATCAATCAGCATAAAGAATAGATAAGCAATAAATAACAATATGTCAGCTTCAGGGCAACTGCAAAAGCTGTGCTTTCAAACATGTTGCAAAGTTGCTAAAAATACTAAATATCCAGGAAAAAAAGAAACAACAAAACAACTTCACACCAACCCCCCTCAAAAACAGCCAGGAAACACCAAAATCCCTAATGTACAGTGGAAACAGGATTTAAGTTAATAATGCACCTTAAATTAACCATTAATACATTAAATTTGTCTCTAAAACTATAAATAAATGTCTTTGCCTTCTTCATGTGCATTATACTAATAAAACACTTAATTTTACCATACAAAAGGATAAAACTTTGTAGAAATGAAAATGCTAAAAGAACAATTTTAAAAATGAAACATTTAATCTTTCTGGAACTGGAGGAAAAAAAAAAATTCTCCATTACACCCACAAAAAAACAAGACAGCTGGCCCTACCATTCAAATAGATGAATGCCTTACTTAGAGTTCCTGTTTTACAGTATGTCAAGCCACAGTGGATAATACTCCCCTGAACCAAATAATATCAAAAAGTTATTTTACAATACATGAAAACACTGTTTTTGCAATATTGTAAACATTTTTAAATTAAAAATAAAAAAAAAAAGAAAAAGCACTGTTGGGTTTCCTCACACACAGCCTTCCTGATGAAAATGTAAACCCTCTAATGATGTTAATTGGCTAATTACAGTTACAGTCATATTTTGACACACACATTGTAGAGTCAGCATCTCAGACTTTGGCAGGCTTCCAGCAATAGACTAAGAGGACTGAAGCTGCTTCTCTCCCATCCCTCTGCCCCACTCCTCTGATGGACATTGCCATGTCAAAAATGAGAACATTTGAAAACTCTGATGGCTGAGCACACACCTCAGCCATGAAAACTTGCAGACTGGCATGCTCAGGTAAAAGCAGTCAGCCTTGTGTTCCATTCTGTTAACAACTGGAATGCTGACATCTGATACAGTGCAGAAGTGACAGCTGGGGACACTGACAGCTACAACTGCCCAGTTTTAATCTTCTCTAAGTCTGCAGAAGCCCTCAAATGTTATGACAGAACAATCTGTTTCCCCTTAAGCCTAAGAAAAGAGGTTAGATATTTTAACAGTAGTTAAGGAGTGATTTTCCCTGGTTGTGGGGCTGCTTATTTTTTCCTTATAGTTACTTATATATAAAAAAAAAAAAAGCTTTTTTTTTTTTTTAAATAGAGTGTAGTATAAATTCTAGTTCCAGGTTTTCTACCAAACTAATACTTTTAGCTTTTAATAACATAGTCTTGCTAGTAAATTTATTTGCCCTCTCAGAGGAGTTTAAAAATACAGTTTTCAGAAAACAGAAGCAATGTCCTTTTATTATTTTATAAAATCAGTTCTTATTTCCTATTTGTGAAGCAAATATTATCACAACAGCATATACAAATTAATCAGGACATAAAAAATAACTACTTGAATAAATTGTTTTCTTTTGAAAATATTCGACTTGCTGAAACAACAGATAACATAGTCAAGGATATATAACCACCAATATCTTTCAGAGATTAAAAATTCAGCTGCAGTTTAGAGCAAAAATAGTATATTGACACCTTTTCATTGGTACCTTCATCTGTTGTTTATACCAAGCCAAATTTTACTGAGCAGCTAAGTTTCACCTGAAAACTTGCCAACAACCAGAAAAGTAAAACCCTGACTTTCTACAGTTACACCATATAAACTTAAACAGGTGGATTTACTGATCAAAAAGTTCAATAAGTCCAGCTGTCATCTCAAGCAAGCACAAAAGAACACAGAATTAAAGATCCAGGAAACACAGTCAGGCACAAACAAAGCAAACTCACTCCACTAGGTAACCCACTGTTTTACAGACCTCATTGAAATGTATTCACTGTATGCCTCAGAAAAGTTACTTTATCAAAATCTCAGCAAAAGAGTAATTTTCAATCAAATATCTCCTTGAAAGGTGTAAAGAGTTGAAAGAAACTGACTTAATGAGTTTACTACAGACTCAGCCTAAGCCTGCAGGCCCAAGCCTTTGTATCTAAACAGGACCTTCCTTACTATGGAAACCCACTAAAACCTTGTGTAGTCCCATCCAATCTCATCAGTCTACAGGATCGAGTCCTTAAAGAAGTTCCAAATATGTTGTTTTGAAAGATGGTTACTTCAACATTGTATCTTACCAGTTGACTTCAAAAATTCAGGCCCAGACACACTACTCCCAAAGCAACAGTTCTAGCATCCTGCCAACTCAGTTTGTACAGTTCTCCTTGCTTCTTTTGTGAGCAGACAGCCATGGAGCCACACAGCATTACTGCTCCAGAAAAAAAACTGAGCAGATTTCTATCAGATCAGCCAGCAAGGCACCAAGGAATGATGGGATCACCTCTTTTGGCAGCAACATGGCCTTGGACTGCTTGAGGCAATCACAAAATTCCAAACTGAAGCTGTGGTTTTCAGGGCAAAAGACTTTAAAAACTTCTACAAACCAACCTGACACTCAAAGGTGTTCGGGCCTTTCAGTTTGGCCATTTCTTTTTAAAAGAAGCCTTCATAAAGGTATTTAAACACTCATTTTACATACTGGCGCCTCCAGTGGGTATGAAAGTGCCATATTTTGTCATTGCTCAAAAGTGGTTTCATTTTC